TTATTTTTAATTTCATATATTATTTTTTACTCTAGTAAAAATAAAAGATATTTCTCAAACACATTTTTCATTCATAAATCAAACACTAAAAATTATTTCCGAAAAATATTTTCTGCTCACTAACCAAACATGAGAAAATAAGTCCAAAACGCTTGTTTTCCAGGAAAACATTTTCCTCCATACCAGACACACCCTTAATCCAGGTGATGCCAAACCCTATCCTTCTGGTGTGCTCCACAAATATTCCCGATTCAAGTGATCATAAGTTTTCTCTATGTCTAATTGGGTGTAACAAGTGTCCAGAGATTAACATGTAATTAAATTTACTGTCAGTATAATTCATCATGTAGATTTAACACATTAAATTGCCATCTATTTCTCTGAAGCCTGAAGCTCAAAGATTGTCAAAGAAGCTCATATTCACTATTATAAGGGGACTCCACGAATATGAATAGATAGAGGTGAATAAATTGCATAGTTCAAAGTATGATGGCTGGATTTTCAAGTAATATTATAATTTTAAATAATCCTGAGTACTGAGCAAGCAAAGAATAGAACATGCTTCAATAGAAAAAAACTATCAAGACAGACAAGCAATATAGAAGCTTACCTTTTCTCCAAATTTGTGTTTCCGTCTTTCACTAGTTTTTCATTCTTCGTGTCACTGCCACTATCCGCTTCAAGGAAATACATCTGAAACAAATGAATCTTCGGTGAATACTTATAGCATGTATAAGAAAACATAGCCCATAAGGCAAGGGCCATGGTCAAAGGTACTTACAAGACACTAACAACTTAAACTTACATCTTCTTCATTAACTGTTTCTCCAGAAACAATCAATGGAATAGGCTCCGGTCCCAATTCATTTCAACGAAATTTTCTGCATTTCATCTGCAACAGCAAAAGCTAATGCATCCTGAATTGAGAAGATACCGAGTGAATTATTAATTGTAGGGACTAGGAACTCGGTAATAACAAATGACATGCAGACACAATTACCTGATGACTTTCATATGGCAGATTGAATAAGCATCCTAGAGGCTCAACCTCCACGGCAGGTATAACAGAAGTATTGGGCTTCTATCACATGCAATGCATATAAAACTGATTAAATATACTGATGCAGATCTGTATTTTCCCTTACTGGAAAGTATATATGCAAAATTGTTCTAGGGGAAGTGATAGGTTTACAATTCATCTACTCGAGATTTAGGACCATAAATAAATATACAAACAATTGCAATAGTGAAGAAATGGATCGAGAAAGAAGAAGACAAGGAGGTACAAACAATATGCACCAGGGATCGTTTTGTTGAGAGACAAGTTATGCGAGAACTGTAATGTAAGGATTTTATCTTAGGAAATAGAGTAATACAAGGATTATAATACATGAATTATATTGTAGGATTAAATATGTGTTATGTTTGATTTTACAAAATGGATTATATAAAGGTTATTATGTTCATTTTAGTTGTTTTAATCTTGATTCTATAATATCTTGGTAATGCAACCAAACGAGCTTGTGTCACCAGTCAACCCACCTCATCCACAGACATAGAAAATTATGACAAGACTTCATTCCACAACAGAAGGGAAGTACAGAAAAACTAAACTCAAAAATGAAATCCCAATCTAAACATGCATCACATATTTTGATCAAGATCTTTAAACAGCATAGAGCATCAATGATGCTAAAAGGAAGGATTTCAAAATGCCAAATTGAGGAATGAGTAAAATAGAAAACAGTCCAAGTTTGACTTCTTTTTGGATGCCTGATATCTTTTTTTATAAAATTTTGTATCCGTTAAAGATCATTGTATCTGCATAATCTAATTCGTCAAATGAAGTGGTGAAAATGTGTTTAGCAATGGGAAACTTACTGATCAATTAATCAATCAACTATGCATCACTCACAAAAGATAGTTAAGGTCAGCTCTAATGGGTCGTCTACATCCATTTTGCTTATTTAGGTCCATTACCTTCAACGATATTCTTTTATATCCATTCTCATGCCTTTCTTTCCTTTTTTACTCTCGTCTATTGTTTGAGCAAATAAGCATGCAGAGGATGTGCAAGGAAAAGGTTTATCTCAAATATGCTTAGTGATTCAATTGACTTAAGACTGATCATTTTTAAATGGACTTCGAAGTAATCATTTTAAGGCAAAAATAGTAGTCCTCATAAAGAACGGCAGGCTACATTAATAAAACTTATGGCATGTATTGCATCACAACTTACAAGGAAAAACTTCAGCTGATCTGAAATATGTTTTTCATGTATAAGGAAACCAAAATTGAAAAGGATGTTCCAGATAAGTGGCCCAAAAAGATAAAGAGGAGAAAAGAATTTTAAAATTCAAATACGGGAAGGAGAAAATAGTGTACCTTTTTGGTTTTGATGACCACACCTGCAACAATGCAATGAAGGTTGTATCAAAAAAGTCATTTTACTACAAAAATGAAGAGGAACAAAAAGTCTCTAATTATAAAGACACCTTTATCGTCCCAAATGTCAACCATGCCAGAATCTCCACCAGACGAATCCTAATAACACAAAATTAAGAAGAAACAAACAATGAGGATCTATTAGGGATGTGCACTCAAATGAAAAGATTTTTCTCCCTATTGAGGGAAGGCCATTGTGGCAAGGAAGAAGCAGCCATAATATCTTGCAATTGGTGAATTGAATATTTAAAATGAAAGAGTGAAGAACCTTTTGACCCTGTTAAGTAGTATCTTTAGCTATATGAACTTCACTTTTCTTCTTGGACTTTTTCCAGTTGAAGAAGGTACAACTTCAACAAAGGTATTGCATTGTAGCATACTATCACATCGAAGTACTTTCTCCCGGTGTTTTTCAATTTTCCGTTTGACAGAAAGATCTGGATTATAGACATAAAATTGTCACTTAATCGTTAAAAAAGGGACTTGCCAACAAAAAAAGACTAAACAATAATAAAGAAAGAAGGAAGATGCGCCCATGATGAAAATCAACGACAAAATATCCCAGTGATATAGTACTTAAGGTGATTTGTACTAAAGGGGAATCGTACTGATAGGGAGTACTGTAATCGCATACAATAAGGTAAGAGTTCATATTCACATCATATAAATAGAAAAGAAAGAAGGGAGGGATGTTTCAGAATTAGTCTAACCAACTGAAAATAAAGAGACAACTACATAGCATACGCCCTAATGAATTATTTTCTCTTGTATAAAGTGGACATGCTCCTTTTTAGCCAGGGTCCCAAAGGTAATTAATTTGCTAACTGCCCAAATGGCTCTTTCACTATGACCAAATTTGCAACAAAACCCCTGCCCTCAATAAGAATTTTGTCCTCAATGTTCAAGTCAAGGACAACATGAGTAGCAATGTGCCCATCCCACCCCCACCCTCACCATACCCCATTGTCGGCAAAACAAAGTGTTCTTCGTAGCAAAAGAAGAATATGTAACCATGTACATGTGTTGCAGCAATGATATGAATCATGTAAAAGTTAGACATGCCTAACACAATGGAAGTAAAAACAGAAACTTGAACTTCAATTGTAGTAAGATGGAAGGAACTAATGTAGTATCTTTGTCACAAGGCTAATTTGGTTCCTTAACCAACGAAGTTGTAATGTCTGTATGTGCAAAATGCATAGGAAAACCTGCCACTTATTTGGGATACAGAGTCACAATGTTAGTGAACCAAAAAAGCTTTTCTACTAGTAGTATTGACATCCCTATCCCAGATGCGGTTCAAGGTGGCAAGAAAAATCTCAGTAACTAACTCATTACACATCAAAAAAACATAAGCAGAAACGATGGCTTAATCCATTAAAAATATTAGCTTTGCCGTTTATATTCACAACATAGTATCACTACTTCACTACCCACTTGTGGCTGTGTAAGCCAAAAGCATGTTGAAGCAAACCAGTGGCTATATGGGGACAACGAAATGCTGCATAAATATCACTTTCTAGATTTAAATGGAACACTTTGCAACCAAACACAATGTCAAGCTTATGTCTTTTGCCTTTAGGAAGAAAACTCGGTAGCTTAACCGAGAATGTAAGGTGTAGATTCAAGTTGGGTCGTGACAATAAAAGCACTGGACATATTGTCGAGATTCACGGATTTTTGTATTGTATCCCCAACAACTTTATATGAAGTTGTGAATCCAAATAAGAGTTTACGATCACAGTCACCTTGGTATTACTATCATCATAAGCTAAGTCTAGCACTGATGTGACAGTTGAAGCATCTGAAATCTCTGGGTATCAATGAAAGTGGAGTCGAATCGCATCTCCTCTAGTTGTAGTGAGCGCAAATGGAAAATAGAAGAGAGCATACGCTTGTTGTTCGCTTGTAGCTCCTTCATTGATTCTTGCAGCGCCTTCACTGATTCAAGAGGGTGTTGAATTGAGCTTCAAGCATGGTAAAAGGGTAGAGAGGCATGAAGTAGGAACAAAGAAAGTACCAATGTAATGGAGGGGGATTGTACTGATAGGGAGAACTGTAGTCCCATACAATAATGCAAGAGTTCATTTTCACAATGTAGGAATAGAAAAAAAGGAGCATGTGCACTTCATTATGATATATATATATATATATATATATATATCATAATGAAGTGCACATGCTCCTTTTAGTTAGGGTCCCGAAGGTGATTTGCTAACCTACCAAATGGGTCTTTCACAATGGACAGAGTCGCAACATGATTCTAAACTGCCCTCTTCTAGTCCTAAAATGTCAGTTACTATCTCCCAAATTTCATCAGACTTCATAGTTCACCCAATAATTGCATGTGAACAGTTACCATTGACTGAAAAGTGACACCCAAACACTTGTTCCTGAAACTTTTCTGCAAGTGTATAACTGACATGAACTCTCAATCTGCTCTCAAGATAGATTTTTCTAAAATTACAACTCAATGGGATACTCAACCATTTTGTCTAATTGCCTAATACGTAATATTATTGAATGAGTCCACCTAAAAGGGAGTTCAAGAGGAAATTATGAGAGCACACAGTGAGTACCTAAAAAATACTGCTAAAGAAGCAGCCATTTTTTCACAAGTGGAGCAATCCAGTTATCCAGTCAAAATCAGTTCAGTACAACAATAAATAGCATACATGCAATCCATCTAAAGGCAATACTAGCAGCTAGAACGCTAATCTGGTATCAAAATCGGCTCTTTCTTTTATACTTCGTTATGTACTGAAACAAGTGATATTTAATACTCTGGCTATTTCGAAAATACCTCTGGATTTGTCAACGTAAAAGAGAGAATCGCTAGGAACTTGAGCGAGTGGACCGCCGGAAAGAGCATCCTTTGTGGAATTATCAAAGAGATCTTCAATGTCCTCCATACTTATGTTGGCTCTCCATGCCTTCTTCCCCCCATCTCTCTACCTTCGCTTCAAAGGCGTTAACCTAAAGCCCTTTGCGCTGTGTCCCCAAATATTTAAGACCCAAAAAGAATTTGAGTATTCATACTGTATTTTGTTTTGTTATATACAGAAGGGGTCAGATTCATCATTTTATTTTCCATCTCTATATTTTTATCCGATAATAAGTGTAAAAAAAAAACATAATAAATTTTTTTAATATTATATTTAAATTATTATAAAAGTGTGAGTTTCATATTAAATTATTATTTTTTTAATTTAAGAAATACACTACAATGTCCTTGTCAGAGTAGTCAATCTTGTGGCTATTAGGATTTGAAGCGAATTTACATCTGTTAGGTTATTAGCATTTTAAAATTAATATTTAACATATAAAATTGCTTTATTTGGGAGTTATAAGAATGACTATTAGTAGGCATTTGTGTTTTAAACTATCAATTTGATCATGTTATTTATCTTTGACTTGGTAGCCATGTAATGCAATTACTTTTGGCTTTATTGGTTGAATTCATTGTAGAGATAAAAACATTCCAATAAACATTGGAATGGATAACTTCTACATCATCCATTAGCATGGGTTGTCCATTATTTTATTTCATTCTTAATTCCTCCATTACTCTTTGTAATATATGTAACTCCTATTGTAACATATGTAACCTATGAAATTCCTAAGGTCATTATATCATTATTTACTACTTCCATTATCTTCCTATTCATTGATAGGAAGACTTCTTGTAGTATAAATAGTGGTGCTCTTCATTTGGTTTGTAACACACAAAAAAAAACACAAAAAGAAACACAAGAGAAAACAAAGAGTGAAAGAGTTAGTCTAAAAGAGAGTTCTTATTAGTTGAAAGGGGAGCTTTAGACTCAACTCTTGTCCAGAGTTGTTGAGTTATACTTTGTGAAGGTTGTTGTATCCGTAAGAGGACAAGTCAAAGAGGACTACTGCTAGACCGGTGAAAACATTTGCTACAGTGGGCTTGAATCTCCTTAAAGAGAGCGAGATATCTGCGCCTCAGCCTGAAGAGATTAATTTCTTCATTTTATTTTCAATTGTAATATTGCAATTTTATTATGTGTAAATTAGGTATATAGCATTTTCTATAGTAATATTCTCAAGATATAGCATTAGAGTTTGTATTTCAATATATAACATTTAATATCTCAAGCTATAGCATATTATTATAAACTTAATGTTAATTTGAAATAATTAAAAAAAATGTTTTAAAAAAATGAATAAAAAACTGACAAAAATTTAAATGGAAAATGGCATCCTTTATTACTAAATTAAATACAATTATTAATTAGTGTTAATTGATTAACACGTTTTAAGGAAATTTAAAAAATATTCAGATTAGTTAGTTGCCTTAAATCTCTCAAATTAGTTTAAATGAGAATAAATTTTGATTTAATTCCTTAAAAAGCTCTAACAAATTGACATCAACGTACAAGCTATTTTTTTCCTCCAATTTTCACTATTCTTTCAGATTTGCAGCAGATATCAGTTCGTTTTTTTTTTAGTAATTGAAGAAATTTTGACGTTGAAAAAAATTGATTTGCTATGATGGAGACATTGTGTCGATATTAATTAAAATGGTGGAATGTGGAATTCATCAGGTTGGTTTTAATTATGATTTGTTTATTTTGATTATGATTTGTTGGGTTTTAACATGGAGAACATTGTGTCGATTTTTTTTGATTATTTTAAGATCTGATATAGATTATAGCTTGTTTTTTTGGGATGAAACAGTGTTTTGGTATATATACCGTATCTGAAAAACAGCTGTAAATATATATGTGTTTGAGTTTTAATAAAATTGAAGATTCGCGTAATACTTGAGTTATGAACAAAATATAAAAAATGATTGATGGTACAGTGTATTTAGTTACTAGTCAAAAAATAAGTATTTATAATTATGTGGATCGTTGAAGTATGAAAGTTGTATAAATCGTGTATGAACCTTATATGAAACTTGTATTAATTATGTATGAAGTTTCTTTTTTTGTTGAAATTAGAATATATGTTTCTGTTTGGCATATGAAGGTAAATGTTGATATAATTCTGTATGAAAACTGTATTTTTTTGTTTAGCTTTTTTTTTTTTGTTAGTAAATTTTTTTTGTGATGATGAAAGCTATATTTGTTTTTTTGTTTAGTAATTTTTTTTGTTATTTGTGAATATGTGAAATATTAATGGAATTATTGGTGAAAAAATAGTATGTTGGTCGAAATATGAAATGCTAGTTTCTTTGTCTGTTTCTGATTTGTAAAGCAATGTTTGTATTTTTTTTGACATTTATAGTATGAAAGGTGTACTATTTTGATATTAAATATTTTTATTTTATTTTTTAATGACATATTTTTTTTAAATTATTTTTAATGAGCATTAATTTTCCATGTTAGGTAATACCATCGACGGTTGATATGTATGTTCTTGTCGAAGGACCAAAGAAGTACATAGTAAATTTAAATACAAGGTGTGTAGTTGCGGGAGATTTCACCATTATGAAATACCATGTGATCATGTAATTGCAGTTCTTAGATACAAGAAACTGCATGAAACATATTTCTATTCTGTCTTTTATAGCCTGAAGAATTTCAGAGGTGCATATGTCATCCCTGTTGAACCTATCCCCTGCGAGAGTATGTGAGATATACCCAATTATATTTCAAAGCCTAAATTGATGGCACCCGATCCAAGTAGATCAGTTAGAAAATTGCATGTTGAACGTTGGAAGGAGTTTGCTGATGTAAAATTCAAAAGGTCAAAGGTTACTTGTAGTAAATATCGTCAAGTTGGACATAACAGGAAGACATGTTCAAATTATCCTGTTAAAAAAATGATTTCATGATTTTTACTTTTTGTTACATAACATGTTTTGTTTTATGGAAGAATCTGGTATAATTAATATTTGAGTAGTTGTGATTTCTTAATATTATCCATATAAATAATACTGAAACACATTTTGTGTCCGTTTTCAAATTTTATTCGTATACTAATATATAGTTAAACAAGAATCGTACATAATTCATACAAAAAAACATATATATGGAACAACTTTTTAACATATAATTGTACAGTAAAACTCTTGTTAAAATAGTTCATACATAGATCATAGATAGTTCGTACAAAGTTCATACATATGGATCAAAAAAATATATGATAGTTGTCATACTAAAACGATAATAAATCAAAAATGTGATATCATGTTCATACTAGTAGTAATCAGACTTCATACATATTTCATCCAGACAGTAATCAAACTTCATACATAATCAATAATGGAAGAAAGATTTATACAAAAAAGCCAACAAATTAGAAATGTAATGTCATGCCCATACAATTAGTAATCAGACTTCATAGAAAAAAGTCAACAAATTAAAAATGTAATGTCATGCCTATACAATTAGTAATCAGACTTCATACAAAAAACCCAACAAATTAGAAATGTAATGTCATGCCCATACAATTAGTAATCAGATTTCATACACACATCAATTTATATATCAATTCAAACATCATTCAAACACTGGTAATATGTATTAATATCGTATGAATTCTGTGTGGATTGATGTATTAGTTTGTATGACTTGTGTATAAATGTTGTATGAATTGATATATACATTGATGTATTACTGTTGTATGATTTGTGTATGAAAGTACCTTAGAATTTCATTTCATGCTTTGTGTATGAATTGATTTGGTTGTCTATTTATATGACAGTGTTTGGATTATGTTTTAATTGATATATAAATTGATGTATGTATGAAGTTTGATTACTAGTTGTATGGGCATGACATTACATTTCTATTTTGTTGATTTTTTTGTATGAGTCTTTCTTCAATTATTGATTATGTATGAAGTCTGATTACTGTCTGGATGAAATATGTATGAAGTCTGATTACTACTAGTATGAACATAATATCACATTTTTGATTTATTATCGTTTTAATATGACAAGTATCATATATTTTTTGATCCATATATATGAACTTTGTGCGAACTATCTATGATCTATATATGAACTATTCTAACAAGAGTTTTATTGAACAATTATATGTTTAAAAAGTTGTTTCATATATATGTTTTTCGTATGAACTATGTACGATTCTTATTTAACTATATATAAGTATAGAAATAAAATTTGAAAACGGACACAAAATGTGTTTCAATATTATTTATAGTTGGACAATATTAAGAAATCACAATTACTCAAATATTAATTGTACCAATTTTATTCCATAAAACAAAACATGTTGTGTAACAACAAGTAAAAATCATGAAATTATTTTTTAACAGGATAATTTGAACATGTCTTCCTGTTATGTCCAACTTGAAGTCATCTACTACAAGTAACCTTTGACCTTTTGAATTTCACATCAGCAAACTCCTTCCAACGCTCAACATGCGATTTTCTAACTGATTTACTTGGATCGGATGCCATCAATTTAGGCTTTGAAATATAACCGGGTATATCCCACGTACTCTCACAGGCTATAGATTCAACAGGGATGACATATGCATCTCTGAAATTCTTCAAGCTATAAAAGGTAGAACAGAAATATGCTTCATGCAAGTATTCTGTATCTAAGAACTGCAATTACATGAATGATGAAATTTCCCACAACTACACACCTTGTATTTAAATTTACTATGTACTTCTTTGGTCCTTCAACAACAGCATACATATCAAACGTCGTGATATCACCTAACATGAAAAATCAATGCTCATTAAAAACAGTTCCAAAAAAATATGCCATTAAAAAGTAAAATAAAAATCTTTAATATCGAAGTAATACACATTTCATATTATAAATTTCAAAATAAATAATACAAACATTGCTTTACAAATAAAAAACAGACAAACAAAATAGCATTTCATATTTCATACCGTATTAATATGCAATTCAGATAACTAACATCATGTTGACCAATTTTATACGATTTTTTCACCAATAATTTCATTAATATTACACATATCCACAAATAACAAAAAAATTACCAAACAAAAAAATAAATATCATACAATCTTATAACACTCTTAATACAATGAATTAACATAGATTACTAAAAACAAATCAGAAAACTATAACAAATACCAACATGACAAATCTCATCTGCCACCA